TCTGTTTCCCTTTTTGCTGGTTTGTTGTTACTGTTCTCCGGTTTCAGGCAGAAGCTTTTATATCTACCCTGTGCAGGTTGTGTGACATCAGGTAATAACAAAGGTCTAAATCGTCTGACTGAGTAATAAGCGATGTGAACAATGCTTTATTTTAGGTGTGGTCCCATCTGAATTTGTTCTTCAGTTTTTTATTATTTTGTGAGCTTCCTGAGTTAAACAGGTTATGCTGCATTTGTTTTCTTGTCAGATGTCAGAACATGACTTATGATTGCTTGAACCATTTTTTAATTTAGGACGAAATGTTTGTTTTACTTTTTTTGACTGTGTTTGTTTTCTAGTGGTAGAGCTTGAAAAAAATGTCACAACATAGGCTTTTGTGKTGTTTGAGATTTTATTTTTTTCCCTTCTAAATGAAAAAGTATGAAAAACATCAGTTTATATGTTAACTGCTACAGCATCATATGTTATAGTTTTTATTTTTAATATTGTGTTTTGTTTGGAAAAAATTGCATGGTCTAAACTGCACTCTAGAGTTGTCTAACTCTTAAGTGTCTCTTGTGGTTTAAAATTGATTTTATTGTGCACTAAATGTGAAAATTTATTGCATAAACATTATCTTTAGATTAGAGAATTGGGTAGCACTTTTTAATAATTGTCTTTTGTAGCCTTACTTTAATGTTAATAAATGATTAGTTAGCCTTGTAAACATAATTCAACATCAAGAATGATTCATATTTTATAAGCTATAAATTAACATATTTATTAATGATTTACCCATAAATACTTATTGTTTATTCATGTTTAATAACTCAAGAACTAACTATTCTATATGAATAATGAATTAATAAAAAATGAGTATGTTGGTTTTGGTAATAATTAGACTTTATAAGTAAAGCAATGATAATTATATTAATTTATAGTTATGAATAGTTAATGATGTTGTCAATGTTAACTAACCATTTATTAATGAATAAGTAAGGTTTAATAGGGTGTAGTTCTTATAGTCTTACAAAAAAATTGTTAATGTCATTCCACGCTTTTAGGTAAGCAAGTCATGTTTAGCTGTTTTCTGTCTTGGTTCATATAACGATTATAATGATACAAAGTTTTTATACTGTTTTTTTATTACAGAATATTGTTATTGGTTGGTATTTTATATTCACAAAATTTTGCATATACTCTATATGTAAAGTTTTGTTTCACTTATGTCTTATGAAAATGATGGTTTTGTACAGTAAAAGTGCTGTTTTCCAGTCACTGATGCTTTAATTTACTCTTACAAAATTCAGTGAAAGGAATGAAGTATTTTAGTAGTAATTGTTTTTCTCTTTATTGTGTACAAAAAAAAATATATGAAATGAATGAACGAATAAAAAATAAAGTATCTCAATTTTATTTTAGTGTTTATTTTATTTATTTAATTCATAAAACAAAACAATCTATGTACTCCAAACTAAATAAAAAAACATTTTTAGGTCAATCCTTCAATGGTGTCCTGAAATTGGGCCAATTTAGAGTTTTGTTAGTAATTTATATTTAAATGGGAACAGACAGTGGTTCTAATTTTGTATTTAATTTTGAGAGAACAGCTATTTATACTTCCAGATGTCTGACTTTCATTCTGGCATGCAGACAGCCTGCTGCCTGCGACAGTGTGAGGGTGTTTCACTTTAGTGGAATGTACAGTATCTGACGTAAAGCACGTAACAGTGACGTCAGTCTGAGTTATAAATGAAAACATAATATCTTAAAACAACATTCTAAAATCCATAACAAGGTTGTGGTGGTTCAGAGCTGAGCCCAGGCTGCATCAGGACGTCTGCTCGCCGTGGCGATCTGCCAAAGCAAAACCAACTTTTTTTTTTTGTTTAAAAACTCACATTATGCCATGCTGTTTTTAATCACCCTTAAATAAAATTATTTATTGATTGCATTTGTCACCCAATCCTGCCTTTTTTTTTCCTCATTTTTATCGGAGTTAGCTCTTGTTTTGTTTTTGTTTTCCCACAACCCAAAGCAGAAGTCAGATTTGTTTCTTTGCTTTGACAGGACGTGTTTGTGTCRTGTAGCTCTAAGACTTTAAGCTCTGTGGCAGTAACATGTGAACGGCTGTGACTTTTGATATGCAGGTGGAGAAAGAAAAGCTTTCTTGCTTTGCAGGTCTGTTTTTAGAAAGATTAAACGCCATTGTGACAACATGATTAGAGCTTCAGAGCATTTTAAAATTCTTGTCAAATTCTTCTCAAATTCTTCGTGTTTGCTTGTGTCAAACAGATGAATCTGTGAAGGTGAAGTAGTGAGGGTTTGAATGCATTATCATAATCTAAATACATGCGAAGTAACAAACAAGACCTTACTGGTCATAATTAAAACCATTCAACTAATGAAGGAAAACTCCAGTTTGCAGTAAAGATTTATGCAAAACAAACAAAAGTTTAAAGTTTCAGATTGTGTTTAACGTTCATGTCTACAACCTTTAATGTTTGGCATCTATTCTCTGTTCCTCCAGTCGTTTTTCTTTTTTTACAAGGATTTAAACCGTCTCAATTCCTGTCAACCCAATTATCATCAAGTTAAATATTTAAATATCAAGCAATCACATATTTTAGAAGTCACCAGGAAGAACAGACATWACCTGTTCTTTAACAGAATAAAAATCAATAGAGTTATTTACCTTTGAATGATTCCACATGTGTTTGTGCAACTTTTTGGAAAGACATTACCAAACCTTTGCGTTTATCTTTTTTTATTTTATTGTTTTTCTTTGTCTTCATTCTGGGCATTTATTATGAATGTCAATAAATCTGCTGGGATAATTGGTTCACAAAACTACACATAAAACATTGCACTTTATGTTGGCTCATGTGATATATTGTTAACAAATAGATGTCAACTGCTTGCAAATTATTTAAATCCAAGTTATGGCTTATGCTTTAGGTAAATATTCATGTGGGACTACAAAATGTAAGTTTAAGTGCATTTTTGTGTAAAAACAGCCCTTTTCTTTCTTTTTTTAAAAGATGTACTGAGTGTTACCCACATGTATCAGAAACTCTTGGTGTATTTTTGTCCCTCTGTGCAAACACACAGGAAGGGAACGAAACGGATTATTGCATTGTTGTGTTCAATTGGTGCCTCGGGCATCACATTGAGTTTTGAATCAAAGCAAAGAGCTGGCTTTTCAAGTCGGACTTGAAATGAGGATTCACAAAAGACCCTGCCTTTATACAAACATGACCTTCATCCCCAAAGGACATCCACACAAACATGGAGATTAGCTGAACTTGTAGAAGTTGTCTTGTTTCCCTATAAACTTTTAATCTCTGCAGCAGGTCTTCATCAGTTCATTTGCGGTAGACTTTTTATGAAATTTAGGAGAGGTCATTACAGTACTTTTAATTTCACATCTGATATTAAAGATCTTATTGGTTCACGTTTCCCCATTACAGCACTTCATATGAGATTGTAGGTTTACTTTTGGTTCCTAGAGTTTAAAAAAAGAGAGGGGAAAATGTAAGTTATCAGGTTGTTCAATGTTCTTTTCTAGTTGTGTTTGTTAGGCTAATATCCCATTTAAAACTAGGCTCAAACTGATTATTTTTGATCATTTCTGTAGTTGGGTTTACTGAGCTATCCCTTAGTTATGATGCTGTTTATGGAGCCTGTGAGGGTAGCAGGTTTTGCTGAATGTTTCCTTCTTTTAAAAAAGAAGTTGTTCCTCTCTGTTGTCTCCCTGCGTAGACCTTTTTAGTGACTGTGCATGCATAAATCAGGCCCTGGGTGTCAGATTGATGACTGCAGAATACAGGTGAAACATAAACACTGTTGGTGAATTAAAAAAAAANTTTTTTTAAAAGATGTACTGAGTGTTACCCACATGTATCAGAAACTCTTGGTGTATTTTTGTCCCTCTGTGCAAACACACAGGAAGGGAACGAAACGGATTATTGCATTGTTGTGTTCAATTGGTGCCTCGGGCATCACATTGAGTTTTGAATCAAAGCAAAGAGCTGGCTTTTCAAGTCGGACTTGAAATGAGGATTCACAAAAGACCCTGCCTTTATACAAACATGACCTTCATCCCCAAAGGACATCCACACAAACATGGAGATTAGCTGAACTTGTAGAAGTTGTCTTGTTTCCCTATAAACTTTTAATCTCTGCAGCAGGTCTTCATCAGTTCATTTGCGGTAGACTTTTTATGAAATTTAGGAGAGGTCATTACAGTACTTTTAATTTCACATCTGATATTAAAGATCTTATTGGTTCACGTTTCCCCATTACAGCACTTCATATGAGATTGTAGGTTTACTTTTGGTTCCTAGAGTTTAAAAAAAGAGAGGGGAAAATGTAAGTTATCAGGTTGTTCAATGTTCTTTTCTAGTTGTGTTTGTTAGGCTAATATCCCATTTAAAACTAGGCTCAAACTGATTATTTTTGATCATTTCTGTAGTTGGGTTTACTGAGCTATCCCTTAGTTATGATGCTGTTTATGGAGCCTGTGAGGGTAGCAGGTTTTGCTGAATGTTTCCTTCTTTTAAAAAAGAAGTTGTTCCTCTCTGTTGTCTCCCTGCGTAGACCTTTTTAGTGACTGTGCATGCATAAATCAGGCCCTGGGTGTCAGATTGATGACTGCAGAATACAGGTGAAACATAAACACTGTTGGTGAATTAAAAAAAAACATGAATATATTTAGACCACAATACATCACGGTGCAAAATACCAACACTGGATATGTGTATTAGTAAGACTGCATATTAGGGCCACACTATGAGATTTTTTTWAATTAAAGCACGGCAGCTCAGTGGTTAGCACTGATGCCTCACAGCAAGAAGGTCCCGGGTTTGATCCCCTGTTCGGACCTGGGGTCTTTCTGTGCAGAGTTTGCCTGTTCTCCTCGTGCTTGTGTGGGTTTTCTACTCCAATTTCTCTCACACCCCAAAAACATGTGTAGTGTCTAAGAGTGGGGGCCTCTTCTCAGGAATGCACAGATGTGTTACGTCTCTTGGTTCTCCAGCTTCAGAGCTCGGCACATTACCATATTAGGGAAAGGAATGCTTAAGGTATACCRTGACAAAATTTATGGTACATCTGTTGAACTACACTGTGAAGCCTATAWAGAGCCTTSTACGCCCCCACCCTTGGCCTTCGTTCTTCATCTTTCTTACTTGGTGAATCATTCATCTTGGAGGCCACAATTTGGTTTTTGGCTGTAATCTCCWGRAMTGCAAWATAAAGATTCTTGCTGTTCAACCAGCCTGTTTCAGAGTTTCTCTCTTCATTGAGCAGCAGCAGTTCCRCAGAACCAGAAGACGTGGTTATTTCACCTCACATGCACAACAYATTGCTTTCAGGCCCAGGCCACCCTTGAAAGAGAGATCTGCAGTCTCARTAASATTTACCTGGTTAAACAATGGTAAAATACTAATCTTATGAGAACATAGTCATGTTATTTTGAGAGTAAAGTCATAGTATTACAAGAGAAAAGTCMTAATATTACACRACATATCCATTTTCTGTTTCTGGGTCGACTCGGACCTGCTGTGGACAGCCTCTGTGTGTCACTGGGTTCATGAAGTAGTTCGCAATTACTTTTAGGTCACGTCAGTGTAATAAAATGCTTCCATCCACATTATATGACAACCAAATCCATTAAAGCAACCATTAATTGCAATTCGATGTGGCTTCAATTTATCATATGAATCCATATAAGTGTTTGCACAATCATTTTTTTCTTTTTCTTTTTTCTCATAATCAAAAAAAATTRTAAAAAGGTCAATGATTGTTCCTGATAGGAGTAGCATCGAAGAGAACATTTGATTAAATTTACTGACTGTTTTAGACAATCTTTATTTATTATGTGTAATTAACTGAATCTGTAATCAGTTGGTATAAGAAAGTACAGATTCCCTCAATAAATAAATAAGTAAATAAATAAGTGTTTTTACTACAATTTCATGCGATATTTGTAGGTCWAAGTTCTTTTTTTCCATTTTGCAGAAAGAAGTGACGTAGATGTTTGTTGAACTGCTTGGCAGCTGCTGGCGTCAAGAAACACTTCAGGAATGGAATCATCATCATCTGGATACCAACAAGTTGTCTCACAAAGGAATTATTTATTTTAGATTTCCCATGATGCATGTTGAAGGCAACGCACCAAATACACGCCCCATTTACAGAATATTTATTACAGGGTGATAATAATCTCGACTCATCCTTCATTGTTATCCAGAACATTTAGTTTTTTTGTTTTGTTTTTAGCCACAGAACAAAAGAGTTGGTCGAGGTGCCTCCCAGTTTCACAATAAAACAAGATACCAACAAAATGATTCTGTTCTTCAGCTCCACCGATTTGTTGTTTTAAACGAAACGTCATGCACTGGGACAAGAATAGTTTTTTGAATAAATGAAAAATTGACCAAGAGTATTTACACCTCCTGATCACACAAGATAGCCTAAAAAATAATGGCAAAAATAATTATTTTTCAACAAATTCAACTCTAAAAGTCTCCAGGCAGTTTTTTTTTTCAGTCATGATTACTGTTGGTGGTATTTATTTATTTTATCTAAAACTGGCAATTGCTTCAAATAAAAATACTATACACTTCTTTCTTCTTGTCAACGTTTTGATAAGTCCATGGAAAAAATACTTCACAACTAAACAAACAAAACAACCAAAGAATTAATAAACAATATTATAATGAAAAATTATGATAAAAGTGATGTAGGTTAATTGTAACAGGTTATCATCTTCACTGTTGGAATTTGTCACTTTTTTATGCTTATGACATTTGCACGGGTGTGAATCCATTAGATAACATCCAAATCATTTCTGTTTGCCATCATCGACTGAAAGGCCTTCATAACAGCAAGACGATTAATAATAATTAAGCAAATTTATGTTCACGAGGTTCACTTCCAAGCATTGTATTGTTCATTTATTAACCAGTTTACTTTAAATGGTTGAGTAACATTTGTAAGATGTCACCATGATGCTGAAGATTTACTCTTATTATAATAGAAACTCAGTAATGATTATTATCCACCTTAGGCTTTACATGGGTGGCTGTTTGAAGGCTGCTTTGTGTTTGAGGTGTTTTCCAGTTGCATAATAGTCACTTCACACAAACAACTAATTTGACCTTGTTATATTAAATAGAGCTTGAATAATTGATTGTAAAAAGTAATTACTCATTCTCTGAACTGTTAATACAAGACAAAGTGGCTCTTTGAACCCCAGCTGGTGATTCTAACCTGCTATCTACAGCCAAACAATCATCGATCTGATCATATTTTCCCATCTTTGTTGGGGTATTTTTTATGTGTGGGAGTTATAAAACTTGTAAACCAATACTGCCATAAAGTATTTTTTGTTGTCTGCTAATATGAAAGGCAGGCGGCCATGTAAGAGCCTTTCTCTGTGTGTCTTTTAGCAAAATATTTGATGAACAACCGGACAATTTTAACGAAACTCTCAGAAAGCGATCCCTTTCTGTACGTCTACAAATGATAAAGCTTTGGAAACAAACTGTTTCAAGATGGCCACCACAGCTGGTTAACATTCAAATTTGGTTAGAACTCAGCTGATTTGACAGATATTAGAGAATAGAAAACAATAATCCCTTATTTGCCCCATGAGCTAAAATTTGATGTAGTAGCAGAGAGTCATTCCCAACATACAGCGGATAAAATAAGTATTGAACACGTCAACATTTTTCTCAGTAAATATATTACTAGAGGTGCTAATG